TATAAATTATACTTAGTAATGTAGGCCGATAAATTGTTTGGATTCAGAATCGTTTTTTGTATAAAATAATATAATATTGTAATATCATAGAATTTAAACTTAAAACATCCATTACAATGACCCCATGACAGTTTGACATCGAATGTAGAGCAAAACTGCACCCAATTTTTTTTTGGTATGAAGTTTATTATTCATTACGCTCTATCGGTTGTTTCCCGTAAGCAACTATTTTTCTATATTATTCTGTTAGTACGTGATTTAAGTGGTTTTGATAATAATAAGATATGTATTGGGAACTTTTATTAATTAGTTTTGAATAATATTTAATTACATTGTATAGGAATTTACTCAAAATTAAAAATTACTATTTTTTTTAATTCTGTATTAAAATTGCCTATACTAAACTCCTTAAAAAGTTCATGTGTGGCATTTGTGATTCAATCATAGTTGGATTTTCTACCAAAATATAAATTATATTATATACTATAGTATGCCAATTTTACCAAATATTCGAAGGCCACCTAATTTTTTTATATTTTTTTTCAAGTTAAGCAATGGAAAAAATATCACGTGAATATTTGCCAGTCGAAAAATATTTGGTGAACATCAATCAATTGAATCATGAATTGTTAAACGTCGACTCTGAACTCAATAAACCAAATATGACTAGTATAGTCCCTTCACCTGAATCTAATGATTATAAACATGCTAACATTAAACATTCAAACGATCATAAATCTGAAAATGACAATATTTGTCTTGAATCAGATGAATGCGACTCTGATAGCAGTTTGGGATCATTCAATTCTTTGTCTCTGAGGTTAAAGGATAATTCTAAAATTCCAAATTTAAGTAAAAATATTAGAGCGAGTATACAACAATTACAGAATACTGTTTATAATTTGAGCGAAACAGACTGTGCTTCTGGAAATAATGAAGTACCATCACTTAAACCAAAAAATGATAAAGTTGCAAACATTAATCATTCAAACGATAATAAATCTCAATATGACAATATTTATGTTGAATCTGATGAGTACGACTCTGATTGCAGTTTAGGATCATTAACCTCATTGTATTTAAGATTAAAGAAGAACTCTAAAATATTAAATTCATATAACATCGACAGAGTTAGTACAAAACAATTACAGCCTACTATTTGTAAATTGAGTAAAGATGACAGTACTCCTGGAAATAATAAAGTCACGAAAACTAAAACGTCAGAAAAAAGAACGGCTTATGATACAACAGAAGACACGAAACCAATAATGAAATTGAACACAACACTTTTTTATGGAAAACAGGTAATGTGTATGAATACAAAAATAATTTTAAAATGTTTTATTACTATTACTATAATTATTTATAAAGTGATATGGGCAAATGCAAACTGGACAGCGATTACCTATTTTATTTTTAGTTGTAAATTTGGGCAGAAATTTCAGGTAGTAAAAAGTCGATTGTAAACTCGGCCCGATAATTTTCACAGATAAAATATAATAAGAACGATATGATTTCATCTTAAAATAATAAATAGGTAACGTACCTACTAACATATATCACGAATATAACGTACATAAATATTACATAATATACTATACAGAGTGATCCATTTAAGAGGGTACACTAATTATCTCAAAAAGTATTAACTTTTTTTGAATTTTTTTTTAACTTTCAGACTTATACTATTCTAAAACTAAATTATTTTTTTATTTTTTTCATCCTTAAATTTATTGATGAAACCACTATCAACTTTTGATTTTAAAATGGGAATATATAATAAAATGGTCACAAATTAATTAAACCATTAGTACCCGTAGATTCATACTAATTCTTTAATTTACTAAACTCATTATTAAAAATAATTTTAATAGCATTATTATTTTGAAAATATACTTTATATTTACTGAATTTATTATATTAATTAAATATTTGATGGATAAGTTAGTTCAATAGATTAATTTCTTAAATGACAAATATTGATTATATTTATATTGAAGTATATACTCATGAGCAAGGTTATACTTAACTATATAACTAATAACTAATATCTAATAAAATAAAGTATAATTTTTTTTTTATAGAAATCAACTTCTCAACATATTTTTACACAGCTATCTTATAAACATGCATTTAAAACAATGTTCCCATATTCAAAAATACTTAAAAACAGACCCTCAGTTTGCACATTTAAATATAACATGAAAAAATTACCAATTTCATCGAAGAAACTGAAACAAAGAAGACGTCCAACTATTCAAAAAACACTATCTACTAACAAATTTTGGGAAAATAAAAATTTTAATCGATCTCATTTAAAGGAAGCTGTTCCACTGTTGCAGTTAACTGATAACTGCATGAAAAAAAATACTCAGAATAATGAGTTATATTCATGGAAACATACTGATAAAAATCTACTTCAGAATAAAATAGAATTTATAAAGTATGACATTTAATATGAAATATGTAATTTTTAGGTTTACACTTAGTAAGTAATATTAAAAAAAAATTCAATTTAACTCTCAATAAATTAGGTATATATTTTTAAGTATTTTAGAGTATTGAAAATGTACAAATAATATCATAGTATATAGATTATATAGGCGAATGGAACATTATTAAGGGTAATTTTAAGATTTAATTAGTAGAATTAAATGTATAAACCTATATATTATATTTGTTGTATGATATATTGATGTTAGGTACTTAAGTTAACACTAAAAATTTGTTTTAACATAGAATAATATTTTGTATTTTATTTATTTCTACTCTTTAGGTGTATGATATTTTATTACCCTAAATAAGTAAATTATACAGTTGTATAACAGCTAGTTTAAATATTAATTATACTGAAATATAATAAAATTTAATTGTAGGTATTTAATTCTTATTTGGTGGATACCTTAATATCGTAAAAATTAAAGTGTTAGGTACATATATTAACAAATTAATTTAACAAAACATTTAATGATCGAATAAACTATTTAATTTCCAATTTTTTTATATTATAATTTATACTATTGCAAAACCCATGTATGTTAATATTTTAGTTTAATTGATGTAAGTTTTCCTTTAACAGAATGCTACCCATGTATTTGTTGTCTCTGACACACACATACAACATACCAAAATGTCGTTCACTAGTTTCAATAGTGTGCAATCAGTTTTGATATTTGAGTGAATATATAATGACCTATCATCAAACATTTAAGTAAGAATATTATTTGTACTGAGACCAGCTTTTATTCAATATTTTAATTTTCAAGAGAGGTATGAGTATTTTTAATTTGTGATATTTCTCATACCCACATCATGGATGAAATTTAAAATATCAAAAAAGCTAAAGGACAGATAATTTTCTTACCTATAAGTTTGACTATATGATCTGTCAATTCACTAAAATATTAAAACTAACAACATACTATTGAAACGAGTGAACGGAAATTTCTTATGTTGTACGTTTGTAAGACAGAGACAATAAACACATGGGTAGAATTCTCTTAAGTATTAATCTATAAAAGTTCTACTGTTAGTTATATATATATATATACATAAATTTATGCTTATACTTTCTAGAGATGAATGTATTATAAAAAAAGAAGACAATGAATCATTAGAATTTAGTTACATGGAAAATAAATTATATGAATCAAATAATTTTTTTATGAATGAATTTACAGATACCGGTAATTTGATTCAATTTTTTTAGTAAAATTAAGTATATCTAATAGGTATTTATGAATATATTTTTTTATCAGATGATTTTGGAGGTACCCTAGAGATTGAAAATATAATACAAACACTGGATGAAGATGATTCGTGTATTGACAATGAAGCACATAAATGGTGGAAAAATGAATATGATTATGAAGATCAAGATGAAATACAAGACAAATTTTGTATATTGTTTAAAGAATTTAATAATTTTTAAGCTATACAATAGTTGATAGTTCAACTAACTAATGTTATACATTAGTTTGTAATTTTGTAGAGATAAATATTTTTAATAGATCGATTTTAGTTTGACAATTCACATCTATATTTACATATTTTATATTGTTTTACTATGTTTATTTTTAATATGATATGAATATTTTTAAAATGTTTTTAGGACATATCACATATTTTATTTCTAATTTTAGTCAAAATAATTTACCTAATTTTTTTCATACATAATCTTAGTATAATTTTACATTAAATCTAATAAAAAGTTTTTAGGCTATTTTATTATACTTACAATAGGAACTAGTCTGTTATAAAATCTTTAATTTTTTGCTACATGTTTTGTTGTGCATTTATTAAAAGCTAAAATATTAAAATTTTTACTCATTTTTTATACATTGTTTGGTGGTAGGTATTTAATAAATTTATCATTTTTATTTATATAGGTACACATATTTTTGATTTCTTTGAAACTATTAAAAATATAATACTGGATAGTGACTTTAAAATTAAATTAAATTTCATTGGAAATCTTACATTTAGTTATGGATTGTACATTTGTACTAGCCATTACGATTGTATTTATCATAGCTTAAAATAATATATTTTGTCTTATACATTAAGGCCCAAAGTTCATTAATTTATAATAAGTTCTTAGGTACCTATGAACATAGTTCACATTTTGCATTTGTGGGTAAAGCTGTATAGTTAGTAGCTAGACACATTTTGTTTGAAACTGTTTTAAAAATCTGACGAGTATCAAATAGTATATGCTTATAAGTAACAAAAGCAGCTTAGGTCCATAATATTATAGTTAATACCTGCCTAAATGACAACCATTGAATACATCCAGCTACAAGTATAATTATATTATATTTGACACTTGTGTAGTTATGCCGATTATAAGTCTCATACTGAATAGTAAAATAGTAATCCATAGAACAAATAGCAAAAGCTACAACATTTTGAATATCTGGCGCCTGGAGGTGTCGTGGTGATATCTGTGATTTCCGTTTATCAATATTGATAAGCAAACACATGATTCTTTATCTTGAAGAAACGAATGATAATCGCAAATTTCCGAAACACTGGTCACCGGTCTAAGGCAAAAAATTATTTCGAAGTTCTTGTGTCTGTATCGATGAATATGACCAGTCTTTGATTCGACGATTGCTGGTTAGTGCATAGACCTATTAACTAGTTAAATTAACTTAGTTAATAGGTCTATCGTCTATGGGACAGCTTAAGTACGTAAATAATAATCGGCAAGTTTGATTTGATTTTGAATATTATATCTATATTTTTCACTTTTTCAGACTCAGTCAATTGCTTTAATTCAAATGGGAGTTTGGAATCGAGTAAAAAATCTGTTATTTGGCGTGGCTATTGGGCGCACTGTAATTGACACTTTTGGTTCCGTGGCCAGAGTTGATGGAATTTCTATGCAACCAACATTCAATCCAAATACCACAGTGGACTTTGTGTTTCTATCGTATATTCCAGTGCGATTTGATTCTATTAAGCGCGGTGATATTATTGTAGCCGTTTCACCTAGAAATCCAAACGAAACAATTATTAAGCGTGTAATCGGTGTTGAAGGTGACGTTGTGGTATCAACAAAGAGAAATAATGCTTCAAGTACTCGCAAATTTATACCTAGAGGATACTATTGGATTGAAGGTGATCACAAAGGCCACTCATACGATTCTACTAGTTTTGGTCCAATTTCTAAAGGGCTTGTTGTTGCTAAGGTTTCAGTTATAATCTGGCCTCCTAGTAGATGGCAACTACTTCAATCTCAAGTTCATAAATAAGGTAACATAACATTTTACTTTCAGATGATTCTTAAAAAAGTAGTTACTCGTTAATTGTTGAAAGTTTTTTTTATAAAGTGACTGGGTAATTGGTATGGCAATATAGCTTAATATTTACTAATTCAGTATCTTTGATAAAAACATTAAGTTATTTTTACTTTACCATTTGATAGTTAACCTATATAAATATTTTCATTAAATTTCAATAGTGTTTTCTAGTTTATTAAACAAATTCTATTAAAACTACGTTTCGAATCTTTTGTATTGTTTAATAGTCTCCTTTATTATTTATTTGCCATTTGATTTAACTTCAAACTTAACATTATTTGAAGAGGAAGTTATTAAGTGTAATCAGAATCATTTAACTGTGTTAACTGTTGAGATGGATGATTTTATATTTTATATAAGTCATTCAATATTGAAACACTTTATTTTGATAATAGTCTCAAAGACTATGCTAAAGATAAAGAAGGTCAAATAGACTTATTTTAGTCAAATTTCAACCGAGCTTAATTCTTAAAATTATTTCTTTGGAATACATAAATTCAATTCAGGGAGCGGAATAAATGCACTTTACCACCCTCTGTACAATTTTCGATTTTTTTTAGAATATATATTAACAGTGCAATCAGAATTTGTTGGTCGGACTTAGTTTCGAAGTTATTGGCGTTAGAAGTTAACGATTTTCCATTTTTTACACATGAGAGCAACGCTGCGTTTACACGTCTTTTATGATTCTTTTAATTTTTTTCTTGAAACCTACGCATATTAATTATTTAAGAACGCTGGTGCTGTCAGAATTTATTTTTTTGACTTAGTTTTGAAGGAGTCTATTTTGGACCGATCGTCAAATTCTGATTGCATCATCGTTCTTATATAGTTAATGTAAGTAAAAACTAAATTCCTAAAAAAAATCGAAAATTTTACGGGGGGTAGTAAAGTGCATTTTAGCCCAGGGAGCAGCTCAGGAATAAAATATTGAAAAAAAAAATTATGAGCAAAAATGTATACTTACGTTCTATTTTTCACATACGATTTTTAGCTAAGACGTGTACATACGTCTTTTTTAATTTCACATATTTTGTATAAGGTATTTTACTTAAATTTAATCCGATAAAAGACAAATAAAGAAACTAAAAGGAATTTGTGGGAAAAACGTATATTTACGTCAATGCTCCTCAAAGTATTAAGTATAGTAATTTTTGCATTGTACTCATTCCAAACTTAAAACTTAAAAATGTTCTTCAAACGATCACCAGAGACGTACTTATTTTTATATATTTATTTATTTTATAATAATACCAAACACAAGATTCTATTTAAAAATGTTGTCAAACAATAATTAACATAAAATATAAATCATATATATTATTTATTTATTTACTAAAAATTGATGGCTAAGCCCTTAAATAGTGCATAACATATTTATATGCAGTGTTGGGTAAGTTACTTTTTAAAAGTAACTAAGTTACGTTACAAGTACAAAATAAAATAGGTAACTAGATTACTCAAGTACAAAAGTAATGCATAACGTTACATTTTTACTCAAAAGTAATTAGTTACAATGACGTTACTTTTATGTTAAATGAGTGATAATTGATAATATAATTATGAATTGTTGAAAAAAGGTCTGGTCTACCAATAGTTGTTAGCAGTAATCCGTACGACTGTCTGTCAGTATGTCGATGTACATATTTTATCAGTTGATCTTAAAATAAATAAGCTAATAAACTATAAGAAATGCTGCCTGTATAGATGTTTATAATCAGTTAAATTGAAAACAATACCAATACAAAATCTTTTATTTATATATGTAATTATATTAGATTATACTGGAAAAATATTGTAATTACATTTTCTGAAGCGGATTCGAGGGGAAGGACTACTCCGTGAAGTAGCACCACGATATATCCCACTCCCAAAAAAAAAAAGTTAAATTTATAATGTAACCCGTTCTTCTGCTAAGTTACTTCTCAATAATTAACGTAGTTACTCTTGCGTTACCCAAAAATAATAATAACAAAGTTATCATAACATTACTGAAAAATGTAATTTTGTTACAGGAACGAGTAATGCACATTAAGTTACTATCCAACACTGTTTATATATACAAAAACAAAAACAAAATAAATACTAATTTTACAATATACTAAAATTTGTAAAATAATACTTAATAACTATTTAAAAATTTAAAAAGGAAACGGCCTACATTGGCAAGGGACATTATACTTACATCAAATCATTTTTTACTAATTAATGTTATGTATTTTTAACAAAAACTATTAGGCCATGCGCATTTGAATAAGTTGACTGGGTTTTTTGATTCAAGCCACATGCAATCCACTAATATACATATTTTTCTGTACAGAGTGCAATTTGATCATTCTAGTTTGTACAATAAGCATAATTCTACCGTCTCATATATGCCATTAGTTAAGTGGCCTAGCAATAATAAGGAATTTCAATACTTCAACTATCAATTTCCAAATTTTTTCTATAATTTATATATTAAAATGAAACTTAAAATTAAAACTTTGTTTAATAGGCGGCCACATGGGCATTTGTTGTCTCTGTCTTAGAAACGTACAACATGGCAAATTTTATGTTCACAATAATACATTTTACTCTTTAACTTCTAAGATTAGAGTAAATTTAAACTCATGTACAATTTGAAGGCAAGAATAATATTATCTAGAGTATATCAGAGGATTTCATTGATATTATTATTTTTAAGTAAGTTAAGATCATTTAAAAAGGGCAAAATATTTGCAGTTTAAAATTGGTCATAACTTACTTAGAAATAATAATATCAACAAAATCTTCCGAGATGCCTTAGATTTTATTCTTGCATTTACATTTTAAAAGCAGTAAGTTCACTCTAATTTTAGGAATTACAGGGTAAAATGTATTATTGTGAACATAAAATTTGCCATGTTGCACGTTTGTAAGACAGAGACGACAGATGAGCGTGTGGCGTCCTTTTAAGTCATTAGCAAACTAGACACATAAATATTTTTGGGTTATGTTTTAATTTGTTTTTGTCAAATGTTGTGGAATTTAAAATAATATGTTTTCTTTAAATTGAATATTACTAAAAACAATTCACAAATATTTATGAAAACTTGTACAAAAATGACTTAAAACTATATTTTATATAATTGCATTTTTTTATAATTTAGAGTTAACAAATACAAGTCATCATTGCTTAACATTCTGAGTTGAAAAGGATACTCAGCATCCAGTTGTATATGACCACTAATTATGATGGCTAGAAGAGGATCAAAGAATAAATAAATTGATATTTAAAGTTTAAATATATACGTATATATTATATAATATATTTATCTTTTTATTTTGTAAGGTTGTAACTATAAAATATTTTTAACATTTTAAACACAATGGTAGTTTTCATGTGCATATATTTATAATATAATATTATTTGTTTTTAAGCTCACTACAAATAGTTTTGTGGTTAAAAAAACATTAAGCATTATATAATATCTATATAATCAAACAGGGTTATGGTAGTTGATAAAATATTTGATACTTTTAGAATGAATTAAAAATAATAATATAATTTATGTTTTTGTATACAAATTATAAATGTATCATTTAATTTCTTATGTTATTTATTTAGAAAGATTCAACTACATAATTACATTAGTTTCAAATTTGAATTATACTTTTAAGAATGCTGTTGTGATTATAGAGTATTTATACAATTTTATTGTAAATAAAAGTAGAGAACATAATATGAGAAATTGAGTGTTAAAAAAGATTGTTTAATTATTGAAGTTACATTTAATATGAAGTCTGAGCTTAAATAATTAAGTTACCATAATTTTTAATTTCAAATTAAATTAATTATTTGAACATAGGTTACGGCTTAAATTTGTTGATTATAACTCATTATATTTTTATCCCGTTATACTATTTTCATTAACCTAACATATTTTTAGTATAGAATACATTAAACAATTTTTTATTAATACCTATTTTAAAATTTAAATAAAATATGTTGTACATATTGCCATGTTGGAATAATGTGTTTGTTGTAAGAATGTTGAGGATGTTGTGTCACTGTTTGTTTTCTCTTTATGATCCATGAGTACCATAGCAAATTTTAATTTAGCTTTCTAATAGAAACATTAGTATTAGATTGAATTGGCCTACTGTAACACTTAATATTAAGAACATTATCTGTGTTCTTATGTTGGTTATTTTTGATATTTCAAATTGTATGCATGTTATGAGTATTTATGACCCAAAGTGTATATAAAATGTTACAATTGAAAAATAATGTTGACAAAATTGAATATTCAAACTAAAAAAAAATTTTTTTAATGATTTATTGTGATTTAAAAAGCAAAAATTCAATGAGCCTAGAAAATTTTTTACTTACCTATAATAAGATGATATTATTATATTGCAATTTTAATATAATATAATAATATGCACAGTGCTATTTCCAAAGTGTAAACCAATTTAAAGTTATATATACCATGAATCTATTCACACCATTCTACAAACGAGTGTACCATTTGAAATACCATTTACATCCATTTACATCAGTGTCACTGTCAATTGTTCTTCTGCTAAAGTTGTATCGCAGAGTAGAAATAACTGATTTGAAAAAAAATGTATTCATGTATGACGTATGTGTACTAAAAGTTCATTAAACTATGTTATTGACGTACAAAGTTACAATACCTAATGGGCAGCTGTTAATGCTCAAGATCACGCAGTAAAATATTACTATTAAGTACAAAATAATATCATAATTTTTTAGAGGTAGGTCGAACTAAAAAAGTATGTTTGTGGTCTCAAACAAAATGTTTTAATAATATGTGAAACTGAACTTGAACCAAACAAAACATTCAACATTGAAGCGAACCCGTACCACGTAAATGTAATAAACTATACAAAGCCAAAATGATTATAATATGTTAGTTAGTCTATAAAATATTAATAATTCAATAACACAAGAAATAATCTCTGTCCAGTCAATAATATCATGGTTTTTATACAATTTTATGTTTGTCCTAAATTTCCAGACCCCGAGGAAATTCTGTCTTTCCCATCCCCCTCTCGTCAGGCCTGTGTCTACATACTACGTAGGTACCGATATGAAAGTAGTAAGAGTAACATAGTATGTATGCATGATATATATTTATAAATAATAAATTATGTATGATTAAATATATACATATATTTGCCCATACATACTATTTTTGACATTTCTAATGACCATACTAAAATGTATACTTACCTATTTTCCTAAATTGTCGAAAATGTGTCGAATTAGGAATGCGGAGGCTTTATTCAAATATTTAGTGGTGAGCGGTGGCCATTATTTTGCAATTACATATATGATTTACCGCACTTAATGTTATATAGGGCTTACCTGTGGTTTTTTTTAACAATGCATATTATTGTAAGACAAACATATTGACAGGCATAGATATTTGGGTGATTAAACCCAAAATGTCTGTTTAATGCAAATAGTCACTATCGTTCTGTCGAGTGTTCCACCAGAAATACTGTTTGGGAAAAAAGTATGAATATAGGTTTGTAGGAAAATTAATTTTTATATATTGCTTGCTTAATAAAATTTTCATAATATTAAAAAAAATTAAATAACATAATAAAATCACAAACAATATGCATAAATAGTTAGTAAATAATAATTTATAATTAACTCTAACTTTAAAAATTTATTGGTCTAGTAATAATGTAATATAATAATGTACAAAACAGTCAAACATTAATAGACACTAAAATCACTTGTGTCCCAGTCAATATCACTCACAAATTTGAAGCTAATATACATTGTTTAAATATAATAAACATTTTCATTTTTATATCAGTGTCTGTATACATATTCAAAATCCTAAAATTAAATAAATTAAAAGTATGTTTAGTAAAATTTAATATAAAAAATATATAGGGTGGTACAACATTTTTAAAATTGATCTTAACATAAGTTGTATTAATGGTTTTATGATTACAAACTTAATAATTTAAAATATTATACAAGGTTAATGCATAGACGTTTTTTAAAAATTATTTCCCAGATAAACAAAAGATAGTAACAATTAAACAAGTCAATAACAATAATCATAATTTTTTTTTTCAATAAACAAGTAATATTAATAATTTTCTGGTTGTTCAATTCATAATTACAGTATCATTAAGTTCAGTTTCTTTTACATCAGAGTTTTAGTTAACATTTCCATCATTAAACTCTGCTATTATCACTGATTCAGGATAGATTTTCAGATCTCTTAATTTTGCTCCGCCTTCAATTAATGGTTTTCCTAATGCTGTTTTTAAAATTTGATTCTCGGGCAAGACATTGAATACTTCCTCTATCTTCTTTTTAAGTAAAAAAACTGTATCATTCGATGACATTTTAATACTTAGATTCTGTGACATTTGTTTTTGTACACATCTGGTTCTATAATCAGAAGTCCTATTGTAAATGTTTATTGAAGAGGCCGTTGCTTTATATTCACTTGAGTCATTTGTCAATGCAACATCTTGTTTAAATTTCTTTACACTATTTCCTAAAACCTCATCCTCGCAGTCTGTCTTGTAACATTTTAAATAATTTGCGGTGACTTGAATAAATATATTTGCATTATTGTAATCCTTAAACTCACTTTTTTCTTTGTTCAGTGTTTTTATACATGTTTGGCAGACTTTAGGTATGGACTTTTGATACATTCCATATTTATCAAAATACACAAATACTCCATAGTCAGCTTCATAATGATCTATTAGACCTAACCATTCATTTTTAGTTATTATCACTGATGCACTCTGATTTGTTAAAGAAAAATTAGATGTTGGTTCAAATAGCAATTCATTGTGATCTTCACAAAGGAGTGATTTATTGATTAATTGAGGTTTGGGTGCCATACCTGCACAGGATACAAATCTTCTAAAAGATTCAATAAAGTCTTTAGTAATGCAAAAATATGGATGATTTTCTTGTGTGTAATAATCATTCAATCTTATATCGTCAAAAATTAAAAAATTTAAAAAGTTCTCCTGTAAAACAGCTTCCATAACTAATATATTTCTCTGGAGATATCCTTTATATTGTGTTTTACACAGACTACATGGTTTGGTGTTTTTAACAAAAAGTTGTGTTTTAGGAAAATAAATTTGAAGTATATTCTTTACTTCTTCTGGAACTAATCTCATTGTCTCCTTAGCTATACACAAGTTACCGTGTGGGCATGTTATGTCTTCATTTAATGTCCATGGCTTATGTTGGATTTCACTAAAAACATTGTCCAAACTATTAATGTTGATGTTGGATATGAGCATTATGCGACTGCGTAGAGTTTCTAAGGATTTGAAGTAATCATCAATAGCTATCTCAGAATCGGGTTCTTCAATATCATTTTCTTTAAAACTTTCCTTGCCCATGGTATTGTCTACAACTCCTATTAATGATTTACAAGCAGGAACTAATTCTTCTTCATTTATTGGCAGTATGGCATTAGGGAGTATATTGTTAAATTTAAGAAAATGTTGAAACATCTTCAAATAATTTTGCTGCCAAAATTTAAACGATTTTATTCCTAACCAATAGACGGGGAAATTGTCATCTGAATGATTACTAGTGGAGGCCAATTTTGGAGTCCTGGATATTAATTGTCTATGTTCATTGGTTAAGTTACTCATACAATATACAGCATATCTATTTATAACACAAGCCTCACATAATGATGAATTTAACCTAAGCCTTGGACCCCCATCATACAAAGCATACAGTCTATCAGCCAGTTCTGTTCCTATGTATTTGGTTGTGTGTAATGCATTAGGATTCAGTTTATTATGAGAACATACTATGGATTTGTTGTCTATTTTGTTGACTTTATCATCAGGGATTGAGAGCCTAAATGATTTTAGCCACTCCATCGAAATAGCATCTCCTTCATTGTTTTTTATTTTTATAGATTTCATTTTTCTGACCAAATTTGCTAATGAGAGTTCATATTTTATAATTCCAATGTCAAATGATACGGTTTTTTCATAATCATTGTTACAGCTTTTAACATATTGAGCCAGTCGTGGTGATAATGTGCAGGAAGATGTTTCTGTTTTTACCTTCATTACTATGGAAGTATTTATGTACACCAACATGTAAGCATCATTAGTTTTGAACTCGTTTGTTTGAATATTGATATGTTCATTTGATGTAAATCCCTTAAATATGTTTCCATTGTGCACATTTGAATTGTAGATATTCAAATTTTTCACAATTTCATCATTCATTTCATACCATTTTTCGGTTTTAAGATCTTTAATGTGTGTAATGAAATGACCAACATTTGAACTTGGGCCTTTGTGTATCAAAACCCCATATAGTTCAAACTTACAGTTGTCTTTTGATGATGCACATGATACATCTAAATACTTTGACATATCTATGGAGTAAGGACATGTTATTTCCGTCCTTAATTTTGTTACCTTCATTAAATTGTTATCATACATATAGCGCATGAGTTTTAAATGTATAAGATGAGGTAATGAAGTTAATACAATTTGACGAACAGCGTTTTGTTTTTTATTACATTTAGTACAAAAATATTTTTCGTCTCCTATCATGTTTTCTTTATTAAAATACTCTTGTAAGCTTTCAGTTAAGGTTGTATGACCTTTAACATTTAAATAAATTTGCCCAAATTGTGAAGAAGTTATTGATTCTGTTTTACACGCTAAACATGTAATGACACTGTTATAATCGCCAAAAAAATTATTTTTTACCATTTCTCGAATGGATTGTGAATTTGACTGATCTTGAAATAATGTCAACAAATAATTTTGAAATTCTTCCGAGTCCTCTTCCATAGCAGCATTAATACCACAACAAGTTACGAGAGGTTTAGGATCTACTGTTGGCTGATTGCCAAACTCCATCAAAGCAAATATTAATTGAAGTTGACCAATTGCAGTCATTGGCTCATATGCGTTATCAATGAAAAGAGTGTGGTTTTGTTTTTCATTTTCATCATTTACGGGATCCCAATTTAATATTGCGTTTTTAATATTTATATTGTGAAACCATAGTTGGAGTAAACTGTTAATATAACAAGTTGATCCTAAATTTTTTAATCCGACAAAAGTATTTGGTTTTCGAAGCATACAATTTGGTTTATCATCGACATTTAGTTCTCTAAGTTCACATAAACAATGCGGATTGATACAATCTGAATGGTAATATTTCTTTTCACATTTAGCAAAATCTATCTTATACGTTTTAAAAACATCTTCATGTCTTATCTCTTTAGAAATAATGGTGTTGTTTGCAGATTTCATATTTGTCATGAGCTTAATCTTTTTATCAAACATCTACAAAAAGTTTGATCTAATAAATAATTTGTTATGAAATTGATTGTGGTCCAGCTGTATTTTGCTGAAACAATAAAAAACAGTGAATTCAGAAAATGAATATTTCAATTATCAATATTAAATATTTAAATGCTACTGCATTACTAAATATTATTAGTTTAATTTTTTTTAATGATACCAATATTTATGAAGACCAATCATTTAAGTCGCTAAGCATAAAATCAATATCAAAATTATTCTAATATGAATAAGAATTGGTATTCACCATTTGGTGGCTTCTAATTAGACTGTTTCTCACTGAAATAATAACACTTGTAACTATAATGTATAGGTTTATATAGCTATTATATTATTATTTAACTAGAATAAAAATTGAGAATAATACTTCTTAAATAACAATTTAAATGTAAATTACAATGATTACGCCTGATATTAAAATTAAGTACAATGTTTAAAAATTAAAGCTGTTCCAAACCAACCCAGAAAATAACAAGTACTTATTATTTTTAAACTCCCTTGTGATTTTAAAATGTAAAAAAGACATTGTTGATGAAATAATTATTGATTGTATTCTAAACTAGCTGTCCCTTCTAGCAATGCCTCCGCCAAAGAACATTAGAGGAACTACAATCTCAAATTTTATGTTAATATACATTTTTTTATTTTATGAAAAACTAAGCAAATGCGTTAATACAGTGGAATTTTATTTTATTTTACTGGAAAGATAAAACAGCGCTCTTGTTGTATTTTTACCATCTTGATTTCAGTCTCTTACTGCGGATTTTTCTAAAATTTTCTTTTACACCTTATCCTAATAAAAGAGTATTTTAACTGTATCGATTTTATTTTTTTGATAAGACCAATATATCAAGTTATAATACTTTTCAAAATATGATATTTTTACCTTTTCCAATCTTAAAGAACTTTTGATGCATTTGTCTTAGCAAAAAAAAAAGCTACGACACAGTTAAAATTCTCCTCTATTCATGGTGAAAATTTGGTTTCTTAGTTATAGCTGTAGCCTTCTCGGCCCTTTCCCACTCGAAACAGTTTTTGCTATGTCTTACATTTGTGAGACCGAGACAACTCATGCTGGTGTAGCGCCCTCTCAATAATATTTTCCAATATCTTGAAAATTGGCATTTCTCTTTATGACCCCAACTCTAGTTAGTTCACCTTCATAAGTTTAACTTATCAGTTATCCCAACTGTGTTATTTCCGTTTAGGTAATATTTTATGTTCTGTAGTTGTTAGTTATAATAGAATTAAAATGTTTAGAATATTAATCGTGCCAACACAGCACGAGGCACAGTGGTTTTTTATTAATATATTGTATTAAAATTGATACTTTTTTAATTACTTACAAAAATGCTTGAATAATATGATCGTACTTAGTTTTGATCAATATTCTAAGTCCAGTTATTTATTTTTAATAATTAAAAAAGTAGTATGTTTAACAAACGAAAAGAGAAAAAGACTTACATTTAGTAAGAGAGTTATAAATCTCGTCCTTCTCGGGGTAACTTAGAGCAGCCATACAAAAAATAATATAAAACCAGCCAAGTGAGTTTGATTGGTACTTTAATAAATACTTTTATATTTGTAAAGTAAAACCAAACTTTGTCCATCTAAAATTATAGCCTTCTATGAGTATTTGTTAAGAAGATAAAAATATTCAAATGTAGGTGAGAACTGTGAGGCTAGAGCTTTTGGCAGGGGAAGCGCGAGCCACGCGGTAAATATTGGTATTTTTTAATCAACAATAATTTTGTTGAAACGTCTTAACTATTCAAAAAAAATATTTCACTAATTAATTTTTTTAATTTTTAGGATGGCTCGAACTAAAAAACTTTGGAAACCGCTGCTATAGTCTACAGTATATAGAATACACAGTTGCGTAGTACCTACCTATAGACAAATAGTGCAGTAGTAGTGCAGTATGATAGGTAGTATAATAATTAATAGTAGGTACCTATAATGTCCTATGTTTACTAAATACGATGCATTGTCGCGTACATACGAATGCCGAAAAGTTAAATTTGTCCACTCGACGGATTCCGCTTATTAAAACAAGCCAGTGTTCGGAACGTTCATTGAAAAAACGAATATGTTCACTATAGGCCGTTCATTCCATTTTTTTATAAGAAAATATTATGACGTAGTATAATTAATCAATACATTTTAAACATATATTTATAAAATGGCAAATAAATTGAGCGTCTTATAAATCGTCCAAATTCATTAAAATGAAAACGCGTCATTCACGTTCAAGTTTAATTTGAAAAAACGAGTGACGTTCGCTAAATACGAACTTGCGTTCATGAACGATGTTCTTTCCAAACACTGTAACAAGCTAGTATCTTCCTACATCGTAAGTTGAGTGTTGACATGACATTTTAGAATAATTCATAAGAAAAAAAAGGGCGACTGACGTACATTAAGTGGATTCTTTACCATATGGTCAACTCATCAATATATAATATAATCGATAGGTGGTTAATTAGTAATTAATATTGAGCTATGCCCAATAAAATATTTATCAGTCGTCTGATGTGTCGGTGAACGTTTAGACACACTGACCCAAAATCCAACACGTTTAGGTACAATAAAATGAACGACGTAATATTTACATAATATACAAGTACTGTTATCGACTAAGTTAAGTTAGTTTAGTAGTAAGAGCTGAAAGTAAAGATTTTTAATTTTTGATAGGTTTAAGATAGTTGTTGTATATATATATCTAATATTTTATATTTTTTTATATACATTTAATATAGGGGTTTTATTATATTAATTTCAAATAGGTACCTATAAATAGCCAAAACATTTTAAAACTTGTTGTAAACTTATATTATGTAAAAATTAAAAAAAAAAAATAACAGATGAAAAAAAGTAAAAAAATAAACCCCTAAAAAATAACTTAAGAAAAAACTGATCTGAATTCTGATGTAGGTACCTTAGGTGTCGAGTGTACCACTCATTATTGCATACGAAAAACGATTCTGAGTGAAAACTGTCTGTTTGCTTATAAATTATAATATATTACTATTTAGTAAGTATATTTTATAATTTATGATATATTTACATACACTGTAATTTATTTTTCTACATATTATCATAATAATAGGGTAGATTTAATTAAGTTTTGCCGAAAACATTGAGCATTTATTATATTATTAAATTAATATAATAGTATATTAAATTTATATCAATTAATATTATTTTAATTGTTATTATATGAGTATACCTGTTGAGCAACTAGCAAACGAGTGATGTGTATCGAATCATTCGCAAAAAGAACACGTTGCGAGGGGCTGGGCAAAGCTTTGATAATCTTTTAGCAGTCAGTGGCGATAATTCTATTGGCGGCGCGCAATTAAAATTGACCTGCAAGTGAGTTGCGAACAGCAAACTTGACTAAAATATACTTTTAAAAAGTACATGAAATAAATTATAAATATGCTCAAATACTTGAGAAAAACAGTATAGATATTTTGATTGTGTATTCGAATACTTCATAAAAATAGTTTTCCGAATAAAGTAGGTATTTAAAATACTATAAAAGTATATTAATTATTATTATATAATATTTTTAAATAGTTTAACGTTTAAAAATAACGATTTTTTCTTGCAGACTATTTGAAATTTTAATTAATGTTAAAATAAATTATATCTATCAGTGTATTTAACTGTAATAACTATAGGCGACATAGTCTAAGCTTTGAGCCTGGGATTTCGATGCACTTTTCCATTGTTTTCCAAAGATAGATAATATACAATGCTCGTTTTATATCATATACGTTTCATGTATTTTTGAACCAGCATAAGAAGTTTTTACTTGGCATTTTTTGATAACTTTCAATAAAGGACTTTTTTATTTTTTAAGAATTGTTAAGGTTTTTGGGGCATTAAACACTTAACTCCGATTTTTTAAAATTTTCATTTTACGAATTTTTGCTTAAACAAGTAACTTTGTAATGGGCTAACAAGGATTTTACCGAATCGAATATCGTTAATCGTAATTTTATTGAACGAATTCGTAAGATGTAAAATTCGTGATCACGAGTGGCAACGGAAAATTAAATAAGAATAAATTATTTTTTCATATTAAAAGTCCACGTAAAAAATATAAATTTTGCAAGCCTGCAAAACTTGTTATTTAATTTTTAATTTAATTAAAAAATATGTATTAGTCCAAAATTTGTTTGGTAGCATTTCATAGGTGTATTAGTTTAATATTTTATAAGAGCATTTCTTTAGGATATTGCATTCCCAGCATTAGCGACAACTTATGATTTATAAGCTTACGAAATTATAATAAAATATTAAAATAAAAAATTTAATTTAAATTCTATAAAAGTATTCCGAATAGTTTAACTGAATTTCAAATATGAACTACCCTATGCCTGGCGAACAGTGGCTATTCTCCAACATATGGTAGTAAGTTTTGGTGTAAAGCTAGAAATAGGTTTTTTAAAACCAAGGTTAATCGACGTTTTGAAAACGATGGTACATGTGTGTACAAATCATTGGTTTCACGGTTTAAGTAATTTGAAATTGTATGTTTTTTCTTTACGGAGTTAAATAGTTGATAACTAATTATTTTTTTCTTTTTGTTTTGAAGCGATTTATCCCATAATATAACCTAACAATGTATTTTTTTCATGCCGTTAAGTGCTGTGGAGATCCAAACCGTGCCGTAACAGTGTGAAATATAGTAACCGTGGGTAAATGGACCGAAGAGTGCAAAATACACTTTGCATTTTATACTTTTTCTTCGATTTTTACAATATTTTTGAAACATCCCTGTGTGTAAATCAACGTTTTAAAACGCATGGTGTCAATGTAAATTTGGGTATATCATATTTTTCTTGAAATTATAACACATTAAAAATTCATAAAATTTTTGCATTTTTATTGATTAAATATATTACAATGTCATGAGTAGGTACTTAAAACGTACAATTTAAATATAATTATTTTGAATTTACAAATCAGTCTCAGTCGTAAGTGTATCAGAACATTCAGAATTAAAATCAGAACTGTCATTGTTGTCGTCGTTATTTGTGATTTCATTATTCAATAACGGGTCATTTAATTCATCAGTTTTTTTAAAAAACCCGTTAATGTCCAGTTTATGACAACGAAGACGTTTCATCAACACTGACTTTGATATGTAACCGCCGAAAACATTTTTTTTTGGGCCATATTGGGAAATGGATGCTTTTGCATGTCGCCACATATTATACCTTCAAAGTTATTGAAATACAAAATTGAATCGAGTGCGATTTACTGTGAAATGTTGAAAACTTTCCTCTTCCAAACAATTGTAAGCCTAAAATTTTAGCAATAAAAAATTGAAAAATTAGTTTGTAATTTCATGTTCAAAAGTTGTTTGTAAAGATAATAATATAATGACGTCTATCGTAGACAGTTAGTAAAATAACTTATGTAAGGTGTAACCGGGTAGAATAATATAAAACTAGGTAGGTACATATATACAACAACGTAACCCTATGGTATAGTAGCCAGCAGAATTCGGATTTAAATGCAATAAAGTACATTATTTTTTGGGTTCTCATAATGCATTCCAAGCACATAATTCGTTTCATATAGTCTGGCTATGTAACAGATACTTCAAAGACTAAACTCTTATTTTGCATTTAGTAATTTTTTTATTTGACTTTGAAACAGTAGGTACTTATGACTTATTCGGACGATGCGCATTGATTTATCTACGTTTTTTCTCCATACTATAAAAATCGATGTCTAACTAGATTTTATGAATATCGACAATAGTACGTTTTGGTTTTTCACCCCACACACATTGTAGGTACACAGTGAAACCTCGGAATAATAGCGGACACATTCGGTCGCCATCATTTTGTCTGTTATTCAGAGGGGATAAATGTTTGAATTTCACAAAGGGTATAATACACGTGTAAGATGTATATGCTCCGAGTTAAATCAAATTAATTTTGGTTAATTCGCACTTTGTCGTCTTGACATGACATCCGCGATCCGAGTTTTTCCGACTTGAAACTTTTCTGCAAATACTTACGCGAAAGCGGAAACTTAATGCGAGACCTTTCCGTGATTTCGACAAGAATTTCAATGTTTTAGAGAGACAACAACTTCTTTCGCTTTAATACAAATTGATCGCGTCTACAAAACAGGATAATCACTAAGTACCTAACAGAAACTGACGAACCATTATTGGCAGTCAAGACATTAATATTTTTGTCGTTAATCGTTTTGTGTTATCGTATATCGTTTAGTTTCGTTAAGGGGATTCAATCCAGAGTATTCATGCATAATATAGACCTATTTATGCCAACTGTACCAACTATCCTATTAGTCATCGGATAAAACGTTTGAAAACATAATACGGTGAAACTTCCACATAATGAAGACGAATAAGCAGCAAAAAAAATCGTAATATGGAGAAATTCGTTAAATAGAATTACATATTTTTTTCAACTTTTTTTAAAAATTGTATTGTATGTATGTATATACTTCTATGTTGTATATGTTATGTAAAAAAAAACATCAAATATAATATTACAGTTTAATTTAGTTTTTAATTTTATAATTCAAAAGAAATAATTAGTGAGTTTTGTTTCCTAATTATTTTTGTAAATTGTACTTTTTCCGTAAAAAGTTTCCATATCATTAAGTTTTAAAATACTGCAATAAAATTAATCAGTTTGCCTACCTTCGGTGTTTTATCTTTATCGGATTCATTGTACACAATTTTAGAACTATATTTAAAATTTGATAGAAATAACATTTACAAAAACTAGTTTTTATCGAATAATTATTTCGTTATATAGAAACATCAGATTCGTTATTTGGAGATCAATTTACGTGTATTTAACAACGAAGGTATGGAAGTTCCACTGTATTCGAACTCGTCATTGAAGTTTACATAAAAAAAACTCTTCCGTTTTTTTTAAAACTCAACTCTCAAACCTTCCAGAAATTTCAGTTTTATATTTTAAAATGATAATAATATTGAAGTGAAAAAAATTATTTAAAAATTAGAAAGTGGTTTTCAAGAAAATTTCGGGAAGAATTAATATTTAATTTGATTTATTTTATGAGATAAATAGGTGAGTTAATTCGATTAGCAAAAAATTAATATTCATGTAGAGCCTTATTGACAAACCTAACGGGTACACCCGAATAGCGGAAAAAATTTCGGCTAACAAGAGTGTCCGCTGTTTGGGTATTACACTGTAGATAAGCGTATTTTCGATACAAATTAGAAGGTTATATATTATTCCAATCCGTTAATAATAAATTAGGATAACACTCAATTTTTCTTGAAGTTATCAGAGTTGTCTCGAATCTTGATAATATATAATATTCAAAATCTAATAATAATCTTGAATTCATTAAATAATAATATAAGTAAACTACAACTACTACTGATAAAGTAATATGTATTTCTATAAAAAGCAAAATATTGAAGTAACAGTGCTACTTTTGTCTATTGGAATCTAGTAATGGAGTACAAGAAATAAAGTATACTTATCGGACAAAAAAAAGTTATTGTCTTGTGTAAAACATAATATTTTAATATAATTTATATACCTACTTAAATATTTTTTATTCCGAAAATAATGGTTGGCTCGGAATTATTATTTAAATAATGCATTTATATGATTTTTGATATAAATGCTCGTGCTCAAGTAATTGTCTAAAATTATTACATAATTATATAAAGGGGATTAGGGGAATTATTTTTAACAATAAAGCAGAGCTAAAATTTAACTTCACATCTAAATTCTGTTCAACACATATGAATTTTCATTTTTAAACATTAATTTTAAAAATTAGGACAATTAGGAACTTATTGTTTGAAATAAAATATTTAAAATGAGTGGAACTATCTATGTAAATTGTGAATATTTTGAATTCAATGCCGTCAAACTACATTTTTCTAGTTGTGGCAAATGGCAATGGCAATGGACAATAACTTATAGGTACCCACCTAGTCCCCAGGATATTAGAACTAGGTCATGGCGGTACCCCTCCCCCCCCCCAATTCATAACCTGAAAGACATTTCACAAGCTATAATATTTACCGCAATATTTTTACATTTCAATATTAGTTTATATATTTTAACACATTACATACTAATATATAAATAGGTACAATAATTTTTAATTAGGGTAGAAATAATTTATAAAAATTGATATAATATAGGGACAAACTACAGTGTATGTCACCAAGACACACACAATTTAGTTCATTTCTAGAACAAGCCTCCTCAAAATTAAAACTATCATCTTAAAACGATATTTACCGACACTGATTTAGTTATTTAAGTACTATATCATACTGTTCAGTACTTATTAGAACTATTACATTTTTTAAATATTCTTATAACTATGTAAATAGTTAATATATTTATATTGTTTGGTTAATGGTTATAGCATAATATTTTTTTTAGTTCTGTATAAAGAAAAAATATTGCCTTGGTTTCAATGTTAATATCATTTTCAAACGATAAGTACTTATACAACATCCTTTCTATGATAGTATAATTTAGGTAGATAGATGATATTATATTTATTTTAAAACTATTAAATAATAGTTATTGGCTTATTTCTAACAAAATCCTACGGTGCACACTGCATGCTGCCACACACAAGGAAGTCATCTTTCTTTTCTTATATTTGTATTTTGTATATTAACTATACAATATATTTTTATACTTAGGATTACGATAACCCACCAATGTAAGGGAGTATACCCACTATTATAAATACATGTGTTTGGCGCCACTGTTTGAATTTAAACTTTATCATAACGCTATGTAGAACATAGTTTCAACTTTAAACACATTAATTTCCACAAAACTCAATTTCAATTTAGTGATATTAAGTGATAAATATAATGTCATAAACGGTGATTAAAAGTATTTATTTGAGCAGAATACTTATTATACTTTATTTGATAGTTTTCAATAACATATTGTATTAAGCTTACAAACATCATAATATATTCAAGAGAATTTTAATTTTGAAAAATATTTGCATATATTATTACATACATTATTTCATTCAGAATACATAATCTTATATTTAAAAAATAGTTTTGATGATAAAAAAAAAATTATTATTATATATCATAAATAATCAAAAATAGACATGCACATCATAGTAAATTAACTATTATTATTATTAACTTAATTATTTTGTTAAGAAATAAATGTATAAACAGTAGTCACTCGATAATTCAAAAATCAGGGGACCGAGTCAAAAATTCGATTTACCCAGTGTTCTAATAATCGAGGGGAAAAAAAATTAATTCGAATTAAAGAAAGGGGAAAAATTGTACACATGTATTACGTTTATTTGGACATTTACTCATAAATAATTTATATTTTAAAATTATTAATTGGTATTTATTTATTATACATATTATTATATTTTACATATTATTAAAGAAATCTGTTATTGTCGCGTCTAAAGAAATTAGAATTATAGAGGTTTGTAGAAAAAAAATTTTGAATTATCGAGGGGACTTGGCGTTTAGGTCAATTTATAAAGTTTTTCGAATTATCGAGGTTTGAATTATTGAGTGACTACTGAATACATATTTTTTATAAACCTAATGTATAAAGGACAATGTATTAAATAATACACAAATAACATTTTTTATACAAATTATACAATTCAATATACTACCAGGTAGTAAATAAAAAACTGCAATTTATAATCTTATAAACTTAAGTATAAAAATGGTCCATATAAAAATCAAATCAAATAAATAAAAATAGTAAAATAAGTAAAAACTAATTTAATTATTAATTAAGACATTTTAACTCAAGAGCTCAGTACCTTTGAATCCGGTCTCCTCTACAACAGCGACTTCTGGCTTTTTCAATATGGAGTGTTCATCAAATTGGGCTAGTATCACCGAATCAGGAAGGATTTTAAGGTCTTCCATAGTTGCTTCATTGTTCAGCAACTCTATTCCATCCGGAGTTTTTAAATATTGATTGTTGGGCTTAACATGAAATACTTCCATGATCTTTGATTTGAGATGAAGCAACGTACTGTCAGATGAGACCACAACATATTCAACCTTTGGCATTTGTTTTCGTTCACTCCTTCTGACTCCGTGCTGAGATGTGTAATTGTTAGTATTCATTGAAGTGGAGGCTGTATCTGAGTCACTAGTGCCATTCACAGACACAGCAGTGCCTTGTTTGAATTTTTTTGAACAGTTGTCAGATATCGAATTCTTATCTTCGATCTTGTCCACTTGAATGTATATTTTTGCATCATTGTATTTCAAATAATTCATATTATCTTCATGCTGTTTCTTCTGACGACATGTTTCACATATTTCTGGTTTTGATGTTACAAACAAGTGGTGATCATTAAAGTACACAAATACTCCATAATCAGCATCATAGCACAGTAAAAGCTTTTTCCATTCTTTTTTTGTTACAAGCACCAATTTATTATAGTCATGATGTTTTGGATCCAAACTCGACATTGGATGGTAAAGCAATTTTTTGTGATCTTTGCAAAGCAGTGCTTCATTCCTGATCAACTTCGGTATTGGTTCTTTTAATGGATATCCAACAAACTTTCGGAAAGATTCCAAAAATTCCATAGAAATACATGCGTATGGGGAACATTCTTTTGAAAAAACATTTCTGTTTTTATTCCACAGTAAATCATTTAAAAATAAATCCTCTATCTTGGCCAGACTTAAACGTGTAAGCCTGCACATCATAACTCGGATATGCAAACACTTACACATGTGGCAAGGTGTAGTGGCTTTAACAAAAAACGATGCTTTTGGAAAGTAAGTTTGAAATATATTTTTTACTTTTTCCGGCACTAATGTCCTAGTGTTCTTCACAATAGTCATATTCCCGTGTATGCATATAATGTCACCGTTAAATAACCACGGCACACGTTCAGTATTATTCATGATTTCAAAACAACCGTAACCATCATTCTTATATATAGTCTCAAGGCTTTTACTTTGTAACAAATCATCTTCCCACTCGCTACAAATATCATAATCAGATTTAATCATATTTTCTGCATCCACAACCACATTAACATTTTCCTCTTTCGTATCTCCACTGATATCTATTTCTTCACATATGCTGAATGGCTCACATACCGAGGACAACATTTCGTGGTCAATTGGCAATGTTGTATTAGGAAGTACGTCACTTTTTTTCAGAAATGTTTGAAATGACTCAAAGTATTTTGATTGCCACAATTTAATTGTTTCATTTCCTACCCAGTAACTTGTTTCTTCAATTTCACTGTCTAAATTATTATTAGGGTACCAATTTTTTAAGATTTCGGTAATAGATGCATTATGTTTAGCAGCTAAAGTTCTTGTATACATTAGAGCGCATTTGTTCCTAACGCATGCTTGACAAAATGATGACATTAACTTCAATCGTGGACCACCTTGATATATAGCATACAGTTTATCTGCTAAGTCTGATCCAATGTATTTGGCTTCATGTACCTTATCTGGATCCACTAAGTTATGTTTACATAATATTGGATCGTTGTTTATTTTCTCGGCAGTCTCATTAGGGTTCAATTTCAACCAATATTTTAGCCACTGTAACGAGATAATATCTCCTTTGTTTTCTTTTATTTCATTTTGTTTTATTTCATTGATTAAATGCAACATTTGTTCCACAAAAACTTTCCCTTGTTTGCTCTCTGATATTTTGTTTTCAAAATCGTTGTTACTTAAATTTACCAATCGAGTCAATCTAGGCGACAACTTGCAGGTGATCGAATTAGTATTCAGATTAGGCTTTGTATTTTTCATATATACCAACATATATGCATTATCTGATTGAATTTCATTGTCGAAACTTTTGATATTTTTAATTTGTTTTAATTTTTTAGAATCCTCCTCTGTACACAAATTTAAACCTTTAACAATGAGCTTGTCCACTTTATCATCATTGAATTGGTACCATTGCTTTGTGGTGTTATCCTTGATCTGAGCCACATAGTGACCACAATTTGCACTAGAACCTTTATGTATAAGGACTGCGTATAAATTGTATTTATAATTTTCTCTTGAGGACACATTGAGTTTATCAGGTAAATTTAAATATTGTCCCATGTCTAATGTTAGTGGAAATCTTATAAATGAGCTTAGTTTTTTTTTCTCCATCGATTGTCTATCATAGACAAAACGCATTAGTTGAAAATTTAACACTGAAGGTAGTGCAGTCAAACACATTTGACGCACAGCATTTTGTTTTCCTTTACAACGGCTGCAATAATATTGATCATCACCGGCGAGAATTTCTTCTTTTAAGTAATCTTCCAAACAGTCATTTAAAGTTTGTTGACTCTCTATGTTTAAACTCAGATCCCTAAATGTTGAACAACTTTCAGATATGAATTTACATGTCATACATGTAATTACACTCCGATATTCACCTAAAAAATTATTTTTTACCATATTTTTTACGCATTTGTTTGTTTGTTTTTCAAATTTGCTTTCCAGCGTCGTTAATAACAAATTAGAAAATTCTTCTGCATCTTGTTCAATATTTGTATCGATTTTTAAAGATTTAATAAACCTTTCTGGATTTACAGTTTGTTCTTTTCCAAATTGCATCAACGCAAATACTAATTGTAGTTGACCAACACCAGTCACTGGTTCATATGCATCATCAATATATAAAGTATGATTATTCTTCTCAATTTCATCCTCCACAGGATTCCAATTTAAAATTGCATTTCTAATATTTAAATTATGGAACCATAGTTGGAGGAGACTATTAATATAGCAAGTTGCTCCTAAGTTTTTCAAACCGCAGAAAGTATTTGTTGGTCGTCGCTCTAATTCTGGAACGTCAATTGGGATGACTTTGTTGTGAAGCCAACGTTGTTCACCTAGCCCAGACAGACAGAATGGATTGTTTTTACAGCGTTGATGGTTAGATAGAGGTTTACATTTGGGACGTGACATGAAAAACGCTTGATTAACATGAACATCGTTAATGTCATCAGGATGAGTGTTATCAGCCCATGACCACTGCTTCTTTTTCTCAAGGTTCTTCTTTTTACGCATTTTAAACATAATAATTTATGCCTATTTTTAATGGAACAGTTGGATCATCAATGTTTGTCGTTTTAACACTTGAGAATTTTTTGCTGAAACAATAAAAGCAAATAATTTATTTAGTAAGTTCAAGATAGATAATAATAATACAAATAAAAATAAAGCAAATAAGATTATAGCTTAAAAACATTTTATTTTTAACAAAACCAATTTAATTACCAAACTCACACCAAGTAAAACTATTAACCCAAGTCAATATTAAAATTTTGAAAACAAAAAATTCGGTAGTCTTGACAAAAGCTATAATATAAGCAATTTAGGTGGCTATTTATTATTTAATCATTTGGATTAAAACTATAATAATGGATTGAAAAGGAACTGTTATTGAAAATCAATGATTATTATGGAATGGCCTCATATACAATGATTGGAGCCACAGCTCAATATTTTGATGTACATATTAGCTACAAGAAGCCAGTTTTGTAACCTTTATTGCGCACGAGCAAGCGACTAGTCGTATATTTTTCACAACAATATGATAAGTATGAATATATAAACAAAATAAATACAAACTTAATACATAAAAATAAATATGAAACTAGTTTCTAGCGCATGAGCAATAGAGACCACAAAACTGATGACTAGTTGCTGATTACATATATATCACTGACATTATGTGTAATCAATGGGCCATGGCTCTATCCTTTGTATATGATCTAGGGGAATGGCTCAATTAGAATGAACCATTATTGATAAGAAACTAATTCGTAAAATAGTTTTAATAGAATTTATTGATTAAAAGTTTAGATTTTTGGAACTTATTGTTTATAATATTTTAATACATTTAATGCTATTTATTAATTTACAATAATATTTTGTAAATATTTATTTAAAAAATGTACTATATCTAGGTGCTCCTTATTGACAAAATAATAAATAAGTAATGGATATTTTCAAATACAATTAGGTATGAAAATAAAATAAACTATGTAAAATATGGTTTATTATAGAAGATTTTGAGCCTTAATGCATTTTTTATCAACTTAATTTTATTAGTAATATTATAGTCGTATCGCCCACAATCATATGCCTCAGAATTCAGAAATGGTGTGTTTTTTATCTAAGTAATCTACCAGTACTATTTTGTGAACTGTTGGAAGTTAAAGTTAGTGCTAAAAAATATATTACTAATTTGCAACAATTGCAACCAGTAGGAACACCAAGAGAGTTAACCTAATCGATAAGTCAAAAAATAAATAAGATTAAGAAAATAAATAAATAGGTACAATATGTTAAATTAATTTTATAATTTTTTTTTTTTTGTCTTTAATGAGAAAATAAAATGTATAATCATTTTTGTATATAATTATGGTGTTCATTTTTAAAGCATTAATGTATGCATTTTCAAAGGTTTTTTAGAGCATTAAGTTCCTAGCCGTACTTATAACGATTACTATGTTGATTATTATTGTTAGTTCTTATAAATTATAATTTAGGTCACAAAAATATAATACCAAACCACCTAAAACTCCAATTTTAATGTTTTCAATCAGAGAAAAAAAAATTTAACTGTATAAAAATTTTTATTTTTATTTGTTATAATTATTATCAATCTATATTATGCTATCATTTAAAAATTGTAAAATAATAAGACGAAAAATGACACTAAACATCATTAATAATTTAAATAAGGTCCATAGTTATGATCACAGATATAAAATAATATGGTTCTATATTGAGATGAAAAATGGTTAGATAATACATAAAATAAATAACGAGAATAAGCAAAAATGTAGATTACAGATTATGGAAATTGGTCGTTTTTGTAACTGTTCAGTTAGAACGTTAAGTATTTTAATTTTAAAATTAAAATAGTAATAAGAACAAAATAATCAATACTAATTATTGTTATATGCCATTTGTTATAGTACATTCATATTTTTATTAGCAATGTGCCTATGTATTATAGAAGTGTGTTGGAGAATGGTGTGAGGGTGTAGATCCTGCAGGTCACTTTTCTTTGGATTATTTTAACAATAATAAAAATTTAACCTTATTTCCACCAATGGATGAGAAACGGTTTGTATCACTGAAATATCCAAATGAATCTATTTTTTATTATAGGATTAATGGTTTTGAATATTCAGTACAATTAAGTATGTTATACATAATTTTAATAGTACATCTTTCAAAGGTAAAAAATAAAATAGAGCACACCAAAAGTTTGTGAAATATACTTTAATCTGTTCACAATTAGAACTCAACTGGGCGGCGACCAAAAGTAGAGGAGAATTCTTGTACATTCCCACCACAATTCCAGCGCTAGAAGCTCTAGCCGCATGGTAGGAAATACGCGGACGAGTTGCATTCTAGTCGTGAACAGAGTATAATAATTATTTTAGTTATTCATTTGTCGACTATTTAGGGTCTAAATATTTTAATTTAATGCCATATCAGTTTGAAAATATTATTCTCTGTAATCTGAGTAATGTAAAAAAGATTATAAATAAATAGAATTAGTTTTTATTTGGTTCTTGTGAAAATTATATTTTTTATAATGTTTAATTAATTATAACTTGCTTTGTTTCTCAATTGTTTGAATATTAGTATGCTAGCTTAAAGATATGGATAAATATAAAACCAGGTGAAGTGGATGAATTTATAAAAACAAATGTATGTTTCTTATTTTTTTTATGTATTATTTGAGTGATTCCCTGCATGATTTAGATTCACAATTGGCCTGGTATGTCCAACCCGGAGAACTTCTCAAACAGGGATTTTGGTTATTATGAAGTAATGGCTATTGGTTGTTGGAGAAATAATTAGTAGAAATTAGTATTTTTTGTAAACTGGTCACCATAGGTTAATCGAAGCATAGGTACACCAAAACAAATTTTTGTATATTGCCTACCAAGAGCGATGAGCTGCACTTAGAGCCATAGAGGGATCGGCAATCCAATACAGTTGGATTGCTTACCTGATGCAATAGATCACATTTACTTCTCACATCATCACAAGCGAGTCTCATATTGAGTTGGCATTTTTAATGGGCAACAAAGTGCACAGAATCAGCTAGCTTAAAATAATAACAATAAAACTACTAGCATTAAATAATTTACTAATAAAACATGCATTACTGTTATACATGCATCATACAGCATATATAATGTATACATTCTAAAGCAATTTACATAAATACTATAACTATATATTACTTACTCATTATTTAAAAATGCATTTTTTCAAGATTGTAAAAATCTATAGTGCTGTACAATTAACACAATATTATTTTCTAAAGTATAAACAAATAATTGTTTTATTGTTAAAGAAATAAGATTTCATTATGATTTTTAAATTTGTTATCTAACACTGATTTAGAATTAAAATTAAAAAGAAAAAACGTGTATATATATTGTGATCACAATAACTAGAAATACTCATAGCCCAGCATAACTTATTTTTATAGTTTTTGTCAATAAACCAAATAAGTCACACGTTTAATTTTCAAACTTGGTATGCACATGCATAATTGAATAATTTTTTTCAAGATCACAGTTATTTCTGAAGTAAAAAAAAATGTAAAATAGACACTAAAGAATATATGATACAAATTTGAATGACAATTTGTATATGAGTTGGTACATACATCGTTCATAACAAAAGTATTGTTTGTCATAATGAGGGATTGCAATTTAATAAATTTGTATACCTATTGCATTAAGCTAGATTAACATACTTGGGAAAAATATATATTTGCAAACCAGTATATTATTAGGGCTGTGAATTTGTAGGAAAGTGCATTTTTTTGGTGATTGTGAAATGTAGCTTTGTAAGTACATCATTTGAATCATGTAACTACGAATCAATTTATGCAACTTTATAATTTATTTTCCAGTATTTTTAATCAAATTCTGTCAATTGACGGAAAATAATTTATTTCTGTACACAGGCTGTATACACGTCGATAAAATAAGGCAATTGCTAGATAACTACATAAGTTATTTGTAAGTTATTTATATCCAAAATTATTAAGAAATGTTTTAAGTGATAGCATTAAGTATAGAAAATTCAAATTCAATCAACAATTTTACTATTTTTTTTTTTATTAAATAAACACTTTTTTATGCATGTAATGTACTTATGTATAATATCCTGTACCTTATATTAATATAAATATTAAAATTTAAAAAAAAAAATTTAAATGAATTTTGTACTATAATTTTTGGCATTTTATATTGTATTTTAAGTGCATATTTTATTGCATTTTTTAAGGTTCTTTAGTGCATTAAATCTACCGCCCTAATTGTTAAGATCCAATAATGTATGTTAACATACAAAAAAAAAACATAATTATATCAATGTGACCAGTACTTCCAGTTATCATGCACACATTTTTATACAGTTTTGTAAACACAGGGCTTAAAAGCCTTAAAGTAATCATAAAAATATTATTAAATTTTAAAATTTAATGTTTATTAAGTATGTTCAAGTGTATATTGTATCCAGATTCTTGAAATCAATGCCCAATTGTTCTTGGGGAAATGATGTATTTGAGACTGCATACCCTCGTTCTTTTTATCACATTAAATATCCATAAACCGGTCATGTACATTATTATTATTAATTTTTAATTAATTATAAAAAAAATAAACATGCTTTATTAAAAGAAACAAATTTTAAAATTTTAACCACAACAATTCACATAATAAATACTTTGATCTCCATAAAAATTCTAAGACAATATGATTACACATAAAAATTGAGTGATAAAGTCATTTCTGATTTTGAAGGCCTTACTAAAGAATGCCGAGCTTAAAGTAAATAACAAAACCCCACTTACATAGACGAATATTTAATAATATTTAAAGGTATATATTTGATGCATATAAGGCTCTAATTACCAACTTAACAATTAAATAATATCTGCAAGGTATGACTTTGTAATTTTCATAAGATACTATTACACTTATATCATATTATTATCTTAATGTTAAATTCAATAACCAATCAATAGAAAAGTAAAAATAATAGTATCATTGAAATTAGTTACAATACAAATACATCACCAGTATACAAGAAGGTTATAGATTCTGTGCAAAATGTGATGGTTTTACAACAAGGTTTTTTTTTCAGTTCTATTTTAAAAGGACACCACACTCGCTTGTGTTAAATGTACTACCTAGTGATGGGAATTATTCGAATATTTGAATATTTGATTATTCGAATAGTTTTACTGTAAATAATTTGAATACTAAAATATTCGGATATCAGTATTTGAATACTATAATACTATAACTTTTTTTAGTCGTATTTCCATGATAAGTTATAAACATTTATTCAATTCTTTAACCAATTTTCGCTCCCGCCAGCCATGTATTCCTTTTCTTTTACCCTTTTAATAGATTAGGTTAGCCGCTAGGTATACATAGGTATAATATTTAAATAATTGAAAAATAAATATACATTTATAAGTAATAGTTTTAAGCGATAATTTGTTCAATAATAATTAATAAATACTTGTACGTTAAATAGCATAGATAAATATCATTGAATATACTATTATTATTATTTATATTGATTAATATTGATTTTGTAGAATCGAATACTGATAATCGAATTATTCGAATAGGTATTCAAATTATTTACGGTCACACTATTCAAATATTCGAATTTATCGATTATTTGAATGTATATTACAACTCTAAAACGTACAGTACCTTACCTAAGGTATTATAAAAAAGGCATCATTTTATATGAAGAAAACTGATGGCTATAAAGATGAAAAGTGTTCATGCATAAGAGGACGCTACACCCGCATGTGTTGTCTCAGTTTTCCAAATGTTAAACATAGCAAAAACTGTTTTGAGAGGGAAAGAATTAAGAAAGCTACAGTTATAATTTAGAAAACAAATTTTCAGCATGAATAGAGGAGAATTTTAACTGTGTCAAAGAGTTTTTATATTATTGATAAGACGAATATATCAAAAGTTATTTAAGTTTGGAAAACGTAAAAATATAAGATTTTTAAAAGTAATATAACTTTTTTAAATTAATAATATCAAACAAATAAAAACTTTAAGAGACAGAAAATATTATTTTCTATATTGTGTAAAGTTTTGGTGTCCTCTAATAAATCTTTTAAGATATTTTTTATAGTAAAAACTGTAAATTGATTACTTAAATTACCTGTATTTATGGAGTTGGATTTAAAAATGAACAAGTTGGTACTATTGAGTATTGATGGAGCAAAAAAGTTAACAGTATGTTTGAAGACACTTATTTTTGTACTGTGAAAAGTTGTTGAACAATATTCCTTCAATATGATCTTCACATCGGCAGTTCAATGTAATATCAGCAAATTATGGATCACTAGTAGGTACCTAATTAAACATAAAATATAATTATAAATCAAACATTGCTATAATAAATTAGCATATACTCATAATATTATTATAGTCCAGTTTGCCGATGTGCAGTACTACCTACTATTATGAAAATTAATTTAAAGAAAGGATTATTTTTAACGTCCTGTATTTGTCTTTGGTTGTTATTTTAGCAAAAATGTGTTATTAGATGTGTATCCATTAAAGACTTTGGCCAGTGGCAAATTTTTGTTTCATTCAAATGTAATTTTTAACAAAATAGGGCATTTTAACACAAAATGATTGAGCAATGTTAGGAGAGGAAGCAATAACTCATTGTTTTTTGTTTGGATAATTGAATGTACAGTATTTTGTTAAGAAAAAAGAATGTTGACATCAGAAATAATATGTATGATACTTTTTTGTAATAGGTATTAAAATTATTAATTATTAAATTTTATTCCTGAATGGTTATTAATTTATATAGGTAAATAATTCCTTACCGCAGTTAATTTTCTTTGTATATTTTATTGGATGGAATCTTCATTTAAGGAACTTAAATTTCTTAATACCAATGGACAATGATTCTTTGATGGTTGCAGCACAATAAAAAAAAACACATCAATAAGCCCAATGAACAAATCTGGAATTATAAATTTTAATATTACTCCTAATAATATATAATATTGTCATTCTGTGTAGAAAATATATTAATATATAAAGAAATGTGTGTTGTTTAAAAATCTTACATTTTTAAAATAAAATAATTCAACTAGGTAGATATAACATAAAACAATTTTTAATTTTGAATATTTAAAAATGTCATAGCATTCACTTATGGGAATTCATTAATTTAACGTTAAGTAGAACACGTTTTTCTGAATTAAAATATGCATATGCCGGTAATATAAGTAACTAAAGCAGGGAATATTTATGTAAATTGTTTAAATACATTTACAGGGTTTAACTAGTGTTGTAAATGTGTTAAGTACAAAATTACATTTGGTTTTGCATCGGTTTGTGTAGGTTTAGTATATTATGTTTATGTATAATGACAATATATGTATTTATTATTTGTTATTATTAAAGACCGGATTTTGCAAAAAATGCATATTGCTATTTTCAACATCATATATATGCAGTGTCCACAAATTATTACTTGATTGATTAAATATCAAAATTTTACAGTGCATGTTCTGCATATCTTAATAAAAACCCATACAAATATACACCAAACGATCCAAAGAGATGTTGAGCAAAAAAAAAACAGATCATAGATACGTTTATATAATATTAATATCAAATATTTTACATCTCAAAAAATATTTGAATGCTAAAAATAGGTTAGGTTATTGTTTTTACAATGAACATACTACATTAAATTGTTTGTACTTTTTTCCTATTTATACCAGTATGTCACCAATGTATCAAATATTTAATTTTAATAAATTATTTTTTACAATGTATCAATGATTAAAAATTATATTATTGTATTACATATTTGTTACATTAGACATCTTACTTTTTGTTTATGAAAATCTTAATAAAACTAATAAATAATTATCACTGCAAAAATTAAAATCAAATATAAAATTTAATAAAAATTGAAATTTTATTTCACATGTTTTGCATGTTTTGTTTTTTTTTAGTGCATTTTTTAACATTTTAAACTCATATAAAACCGGCCTTTAGTTATTATTATTGTTATATAAGATTTTAATTGTTACTAGTCGATCAAAAATTCACAAGAAACTGCCATTCACCCACTCTAAATCATAACCTCTACTCCTCTTCTAGATTCCCGCCAACAGCGTAACCAAGTGAAGAAGAGACTGGAGGTGTTGGCGCTCTTACTAAATTGAATGAAAAATTATAATTCAAATGATGCTGTGTAGTTTAGCAATCATGAATATAATATTGTACAAACAACACGGCAAATATGCCACAGCAAACCGATTACTCCAGCTTCCCCGCAAAAAAAATATTATATTGTTAGTCTAGAAATCGTGGACGAGGACATGACATCTCCGTAGTACCCACCCAATTTCTAATAAACAAGCGTTTTCCACTTACTATGTTAGCTACGACGACGATTTTCATACGATGATAGCGTTTCGAAACACTTAACATAAGCGCGGTTGACGGGTTGGCGAACGTGGACGAGAGCCGACGAGGAGCGAATAGCTACAGACACGAACAGAGAACAGGCACAAAACGTTTGTCGACAACGACTGATTACTGCAGAAGAACGTCAAACAGCGCTTGGTTACGAAGACGCCGTGCAGCGAGCGCACTCTCTCTGGCAGTCTGGCCACTACCACCACCAAAATACCAAAACTGCCTTGCGTCAAGAGCCCCGGCGCATGCGTGACACTAGAGATTTCGAACAATATTGCGCCTCCCGGTCGTACGTTATCGTTGCCAATGAAAATATTTGCCAGCGGCGGCGCTGTTGCCTGTTGCTGTCGCCTGTCAGTGGCGGTGCCTCCTACCTCACCCCCCGACCAAGCTGCTAACCACCGGTTGACGGCGGTACGACGAGCGACGGCTGTTCTGCCGAAAATATTTAACGTCTTTACATTTTTGAAACGTGTTTTAAGACGAGTTTTTTTTCGGAGACGTTCCTGCGTCCTACCGCGACGATCCTATCCGCATGAGAGCAAGAGGGGCACTCTACGAAATTCTAAAGGCACTCTTCGGCCGACTTACCTATTATATACAACATAATAAACGATAATACTATAACAGTAAAATATAACATTAGTGATACATTTAACTTAAAACGCTCATTGTTTCGAAAATGATTAAGGTGCCCTGTACTTGTCCACAAAAACACACTTTACTCAAATAATGATCCTTATAATAACTAATAACTAAATTTGATTATTTATTTTTAATTGATAGAGGAAAATATTTTAGAGCCCGCATCGAGCTTAGTTTTTCCATATTTTAATCGCAAACTTAATAATAAGTCTTTAAAAAAAGACAGTTTTTAGCTTTTTTTTTAAATTATCTTATTCCATTATTTAAAATCACATAAAAATCTGGTTCAATGTGGGTTTTAATATGTTGATGTTTATCAATAAAAAAAAGTTACCTAAAAATATTCAGTTGTCAACGCGTTTTCCAGTGAAGTAATTTTTGTCCGCCGAATATTAGAACAAAATATTTCGTTATTTGTTAGTAAAAAAACATCCATCTGCGAGTGCGTGCGTCGCGTTCATATATCCCTTCGTAAGTATATCCCCGCTCACAGATTCACTCACACTGTTTACACTAAGAACCATTTACACTACTTCATGCTCACTAAGTCGAGCAATGCCAAAATGATAATATGTGAGTTAGGTAACCAATAATTTGCTCTTCAATAAATAGCGGACACCGGGCGTTATTGAAAATATTTTTTTACATTTGCTGAAAATCGTTAAAAACAATATTTAAAAAAATAAATCACATTCTTTACTACTTTTTAGTTTTTATCGTTATCAAGTTTTTCCTTTTTGAACGAAAACATGGTAGCCCATAGGCAGTATCTGCTCTTAGTATATCTGTCGTAGGCATATAGTTAAATCAGGCATTTCATTAATAGTCAAAGAACTTAATGTTTATACAATTTCACTATACACCTAGACATTTAGTTAAATGCCTAGTTATTCAATTAAGTAACTATTTCATGTCAGGCAAATAATAAAAAAACATTTTGTATTATTTTAAACATTTAAATATATTTTCCATCAGTTCTTTATTGCTATTCTATATATATAAAAGCTATGTATTATTTATTAATATGTTAAACACATGGAAAATTAAATAATATAATATAATAATTATGTGATATAATAAATTTAATTTCGTGTCCACTATTACTATTGTTTTAAAAATGAAATCATAAAAAATAAATAAAAAGTTACATTATAATTACAAGTTTTTGTTACATATTACTTATTGTCATATGTTGTTATTTTGTGGCATTTGCCGGAACATTTGAGATTTTTCTAAAAACATAAGCACCGATTGGTTTGACATAGCCGCTTTCCTGATTGACATTGACATTTAACAAAACCTTGACCGTTGTAAATTGATAAGTTTGCTACTACTTCACGTATGGACACAAATTTGTATTTTTTTACTTTACTGTCTTCTAAGCCATTATTTGACACTAGTTGAAGTTCTTCTCTCGAACACTAATTTTTTACTATACCAACTTCTGTGCCAATTTTGTAAAAGCCGTTCCGAATGTCTATCACTACTCATTTATATTTTGACTATCGAGAGGTCCTCGGTCTACTTTTGGAACACTTAATACTATTTGATCACCAACCTTTAGTTCTTTAAATAGTTTTTCACTATTTTACGGTACCCACGATACTCAATATACATAAGGTTCTCATACAACCAAGGTAAAAACCAAAGGAACTTTTATTTTTATTTAATAAGAATATATAGTACTCACTACTCGTACTATAGACTATACTGACTATAGCCTATAGTGTACGTATACAATTTACTCGTACTATCATCTACGTCTATCACATCTAATTAGTTATTATCTGTTTATATTTATGATTTAATTTTTAAAACAATAGTAATAATGAACACGAAATTAAACATATTATTTCATATACCAACGTGTTTTTCATATTAATAAATAATACATCGCTTTTTTATGTATAAAATAGCAATAAATAACTGATAGAAAAAATATTTAAATTTTTAAAATAATATAAAATGTTTTTTTATTATTTGCCTGACATAAAATAGACATTCAATCAAATGCCCAGCCTTTTAATTAAATGACTATGCATTTAACTTAATGTCTAGGCGGATAGTGAAATTGCATAAACATTAAATTCTTTGACTATATGCCTAGGCATTTAATAAAATGCTTGATTTGACTATATGCCCACGACATATCGATGTAATTATCATAGAAATCAAATTTCAGATGAGTAGTTGATTGGTAATACGTTATTAATATGTACTTTAACTTGAAATTTTTAATGCTCTCGGTGTATAGAAGTGGACCTACATTTTACAGGCACTTGTACAGCTGTTCCACTCAACTCAGCGCATCTGGAGTCTGAACATTAAAACTGTCCTATTATACCTATAGACCTATAGGACCTATGTAATTATGGACCCATATACGAACTAAAAATGTATAGGTTTTAAGCAGAAATAAAAAGCATGAACACTTAAAAACGATCACCATGAAAAATATAATATTTTCAAAAGTATCATAAAAAAAAATTTCATAAATGTTTATAGTTTTTGAAATCGTGAGTGTTCCTCGACAAATGAACCTTCCGGTTAGGTTCTTATTTATAAATATAATTTATGTATAAAATAAATGTATAGTAAAAACCACACCTCCCCGGCTCCCCTTTAATATGTAATTCTATATGAGCTAGTCTCAACAACGACAGCAACAATAATAGAATATATTTATGTACAATAATATCATAAAATTAAAAAAATCGAGATCGGTTTACATATCAAATTGATCTGCCTTCTATCTATAAAAAAAACATAGGACTGTAGAAACGCTTTATGAGGTCGTTTGAACTTCATATTTTTAAAGTATTAATGTATTATACAATAAGCGTGTATAAAATGATTGCTACTAACAATTATAGTTGCTAGTTTTTCATTAGATGCATAAAAACCAATTACACGAAAAACTACTGCGCTTGCAAAGAAACTCAATAAACAGGTAATAATATTGTTATTTATTATGCCCGTATCACGTCCCACATAAATTGACAAATAATAAGCGATGTCCTGTTGTGTGGTCACCCCGCTGCCATAATACGATGACACAATATTATTAATCATATAATATTTTGTATTACAATGTACTATATGGTTGATCCTGTATGGCATTGGCCGTGACAAAAATTACCCGTAGATTTACTGCACCTTGTTAAACTAAACATATTTTTATCACACTTATATTTGGTCGTGTTAACCGAATATGAAATACAGGTTCAAAATTGTATCCAATCATAATAACTATTTTATTTTCTGTAACCAATGTTTTTATATGTGTTGAAAAGTAAAAAGTAAGTAATATAAAGTAGGCACTAACTAAATCGATCTTGCTGAATCAACTGACAAACATCAATCATTTTTTTATGGTCATCCGTTTTGGTAGATATAGATAATTATTAATTATTTTGATAACGTTTTTGAGAAATAATAGAGTAAATTCATCAATTTTAAAAATTATATAGGAAAAATATTTTAGACTACTGATTAGAGTATTTTTTTTTATCTATTTTTCTAAATATTGTCTCAAAAAATTGTACATATTCATTAAAATGATATATGTATATGTATCTAAATTGTGTATAGGTATAATATAAAAATAAAATATCTGGTTTTACAATGATGTATTTCTTTTTTGCGTGCTTTATTAAGTACTAACTCGTGCAGTGATCACAATATACAATATACATAATATTTGCGCCGTGGTAATAACTTTTTCCATTTCCCCTCACTCTTATACCTACATATAAATGTCAATTTTTTACAGACATGTTGTGAAAAGTGAAAGATGAAACGTCTAGCTAATAGAAGAGACTATACACCTAACATTTAAACATGTCTTTTTTAACTTCAAAAGGCACAAAATAGTCAAAATGTCAAACTCACTCTTATGCACCCTTCAAAATGTCACGACTAATATGCCAGGGCTGTTGCTTACCCACTTGTAGGTATCTACACTATAAGATATTAACTGTATTCACTTTTTATATGGATTGAAAATTATTTTACTAAAATTTCACTTCATTTACTCTTTTTGTGTTTTTATTAAAATGCAAAAAATGCTTGATACCCGAAAACCAGTTTCGATGTTATTTAGTATTTTTTAATGTAAGTAAATATATTCTATAGTTATCATTATTGTTTTCTTTACTCGTCCAACTTCAAGTATCTACAGGTATAATACAATAGTATATGCTTTATTCTTATACGCAAGAACTAGAAAAATCAGAGCTATACGATAACTAATAATAAATTCAAGAATATCAATTTTTCAGAAGGGGACTCGTTTTGTCGTAAATATCAAATACTAAAGATCGTCGAACCTAGAATTATGTAATAGGAAGGTAAGTTATTACGCAGTTGTTTTGAATATAGAATACATGAATATAATATTTTATTCATAGAATATTTATACACATTATACCTACGATGTTGCTGATGTGCATCGAC